GTGGCAAGGCAACTATAAACGGTAACGGGTATGGCAATTTGACGGGTATGTCGGCTATGTCTCCCAAATTTGGTACAACCACATGAACTCAAATATAATTCAGTGTTTCCCATATTTGGCACAACCACATGAACTCTACAAAATGTATAGAGGTGTTCCTTTCCCCAGGACATGCACGCCAGTTGAACAAATACCTTCCCTTAAACTGCCTCGTTCTCGTTCTCCAGTGCAGACACCTGCCCGAAAGGCAAATAACTGGATATGCACTGTAGGAATTGGCTCCCAAAAATTGGACAGACACACAAACTCTACAAATAAGCGTCCCTCTTCCCAAGACATACACATGAGCGCATAGAATGCCTCATTCTCCTGCATCAGTGCTGCCGGCTGGGCAGCTGTTTCTGGAGACACCTGGCAGAATGGCAAATAGATGGGTATAGCAGCACTGTGTTTCTCACCTTGTGCAAAAGCATCAAGTGAGACACGCACGTCATCGGAAAGAACACCTTCACTTAGAAACCTCCTTCTGCGTCTCTTGGATTGCCTGCGGGAATGCCTCTGGCTCCTCTGCAGCTTGCTTAATGGCAAGTGGTGCAGGCACCTTCCAAATACTCACGGCACAGAAAATCAGAATACGTTTGGATCAATCCTCAAAAAGGCAATTGTTTCTGCATGTTCCCCCAAAAAGTCATCAGGCGTTGACACACGTGGTAAGAAACGTGACGTGTTTTTGATCACCACTCAGAGATTGTTACACCACATCATGAATATATATATATATACATATCATATCACCATATTGCCTGGACATACAAATGAGTGACAAGCCCCCATCACTTAGAATGCCTCTCCCTTATCTGCAGCTGGCTCAATGGCAAGTGGTGCAGGCACCTCCCAAATACTCACTGCACATGAATTCAGAAATCAGAGCATGTTTGAAACATAAACCACCATATTTCCCTCTGCATATTCTCTTAGCGATTACTTTTCCAGCAAAACCCTACCTCCACGGATGATCCACGCTTCCAATCTCTTCGCATCACGTCATCCTGGGCTGCTCAAAAGGAGCCTTTCCACCACACATGTTTGGAACTGTAGGTTTTGGTGTAAAGTTCTAGGCATATTTCTGTATATACGCCGCATATATGTGTGGGCACATGTTTCTCAGGTTCTGAAAGATGAATTGAACTGTCACTGAGCTTCAGGATGTGCAAACCAAACACGGCCCAATCCAGGAACTGTCAAGTCGTAGTGACCAAAATGCCGATCTTCACAAGTGGCCTTCTGATATGAGAAGAACAGGTGCGCTCCAATCTCACCTTCTCCGTAGATGGAATCTGAAGAGGCATCTGGGTGGTTCTCCGCGATGATTTTGTAGGTACCGTGTCCCATGGAGAGCCGCACAGCAAACCCGAAACACCGGCTGATCCATTGCAAGTCAGCCACCTCAAACGATCCCTCTTGCCGAACCTCTTTGATCCTCTCTTCCAGGTCGGGGTATTTTCTCATGGCTACATCACCTTGCAAGGGTGGTATCCCACTGCATTTATGTTCTCACTTTGTTTGACTTTGTCTCTTTGCAATATCAAAGTTTATACAGGTCAGCGTGCGTGTGCCCTTTATAGCTTATTTTTCTTCATACTATTGCAGCGATAAGACAAATCTCTGCGCACTTCCAGATCACTACTCAGGTTCAGACAAATCTCTGCGCACAGCCCTGCGCTGTCAGTCACCTCCTTCTCGTTCTGATGGTGATTCTTTGGGTAGAATGATTCATTCCTGGCCGGATGCCATACTAATACTACATGAGCATATATATATATATATTTAGTAGCTATAGCTGATCACTAAGAATGCCTGTCATTGTTTTTGAATTGTTTTGTAGAACCTGATCCTGGGCACAGACTCATACAAGGACACGTTTCGAGCGGCTAAGAAGCATCTCCAGCCACATCGGCCATCTCCGGCTATTTGCACGACTCGGTATTGCACTCTAGGTTGAGCTTGTTTTGCGGGTTTTGGCTGCTCTTGAGCCGCAGACTTGACAACCGCACTGCAGACCATGTTGGAAAGCCGCTGGTCGTTTCTCACGAACAAATCTTCTACCTTGACCAAATTGCCCAAGAGATCCTTGGGCACGCGCATGAAGGATGGCTGCCTTCGGCTTGGCTCCTCACCCGCAGGGGCCTCCAGGACACCATAGTTGCCATAATTTCCCTCATTGACCTGGAAAAGAGGCGCTGTCTCTAAAGCTTTCAAGAGAAACACTTTTCAGAAGCACTTTTGATAAACTTCCAAAATAAAGCCGCACCCGTCCATTTCCTAATGTTTCTTGTCAATTCCTCGGCGTGTCCCTCTTCGCACTTGTATGTGTATATATATATGTATAGCATGCGCCAAGTTACGAAAACGCAGGTGGGACAGGAGATTGAATCCTGTTCCAGGATCTTCAGGTTCTCCAGTGTTCTCTCACGGTCTAGCTCTGGCCCCTGAATCATCCCAATCGTGTTGATAGACGACTCCCTGCACACTCTCCTGATCTTCTTGTGCTGCATAAGTGAGAGGAGGCTGTCTGAAGTGGAAGTCACGATCTTCCAACACTCCACCCGGCCCTTCTGAACCTTTCCCAATAGAAGCCCAATGATGGCTGGGTATTTGGTTTGCCATGCCGCAAACGATGCCACAGCACCCTTCTGAAGGAGAACTGTTGAGAAGGGTACAGGTGGGCCAAACTCCACAGCTGGAGTCAACATCTGGCTCGTGATGTCTTGCGCAAGCTCAAGCGACATGACTGGTTTCGGGGGTGGAGGAAGTGCAGCCAAACCCTCCTGCGGAACTGCAGCCTCTGCTGCGGCACGGGCAGCCTTGGGTGCATCATGCGAAACTGATGTGTGTTTGTATGTATTTATATGTATATATAGTGATTGGCCCGTGATTGGCTCCCAGATAGAATGCGTGACACCCCTTTCCATGGGACACAACATACACTGGAACCCCCCAAAAAATCAGGCTAGTGACGGCCTTGGGGTCCTCCGGCACTTGCATCATTTGTAGGATCCACTTGTAGCTGGCTTCCACACTAGGCATTTTCTTGCAAATCGTTTCATCTTGGATAGTGATGATGCTGGCATGAATCTTCCCCTCACGCAGCTCCACTTTGCCCTTCGGACAAATGTTCTGGCAAATGTTCTTCTCCACAACCCCTGAGCGACCCATTTTTTCTTGATATATAAATATATAGTATATACCATCACATTGTGCATTTGGTGTTTGTTTCATTATGCTTCATTTTGTGCCGACCACTAAGCACGCTGCCGCAGTGTCCGCCAAAACAGGCTTCCAGCATCTGTG